TTTTCTGTGTATGTGTCCAGGCGCAACTTTTGTGGCCTGGGCCAACTGTACGACGCAGCTTAGTGAGGCTCGCGCGTTCACTCAACCAACTAACGTGCTGCAAGAGCCTGAATACCCACATATGGAAATGCCGAATTTTGGCCTGTGACGAATATTCAGGCCCGCCTTCACTTAGGGCGGGCACTTGGTTTGCTGGGGCCTTAGCCCAGAACATGCAATGTCTGATAGGGCCCCTTGAGGGCTCATTCCTCACATTCCATCCCCCTTAGCTTCAAAAGTTCGTTGAGATGCTTCATGTTGGAGCCTTCCCCTTTAGTCTCTTCTCATAATCTGCCACGATCTGAGGAGTTGTCTTAACAAGTTCCTCCCTTGAAATCCATCGATCTTCCTTCGGATCCGTGTGATGCCTGAAATGAACTTTGTACTCCCTTGCAGGTTTTGGAGGTCTTCCCCTGCCAGTTGGCTTGGGAACAGGCGTATCTCTGTGATCCAAAATGTCGTCGATGTCCACGTGGCCGTCCATGGTTGGGGGCAGCATAGATCTCCGTGATGGGAACTGTGCTGTCTCAGCGAAAGGTGCAAGCTTGGAGGCGTGAAAAACAGGGTAAGTGCGTAAGTGACCAGGGATACGAATGACGTACGAGGGACCATCCAAATCATTCCCCACAATGTCCAGGACTTCCCAGGGACTGAAATATTGAGGCATTAGTTTCCTAGAGATGCCAAACTCCTGTCCCAACTCACTAGCCTTGACCCAGACACGTTCCCCTACCTGAAATGTGGACTGTCGGCGACGTTTGTTCTCAGAAGCAATCATRRCTTCYTGAGATTTCTTGATGTGTTCGACAGTCTGCTGCAACAATTTCTCATACTGGACGCCAAATTCAATGGTTCCAGGAGTTGCAGCAGTTCGGTTTTCAGGCAGGAGGAAGTCTAGAGCAGATCTAGGCTTCCATCCCAGATGCAGTTGATTAGGACTGACACCGGTGGTGTTGTGTACAGCGTTATTGTACAGGTTAGCGATGAGAGGTAATTTCTCATCCCAGTCATCTTGGCTAGGCTTGATGTAATGCCTCAGCACATGCTGCACCACTCGGTTCATCTGTTCAGCCTGCCCATTTGCTTTGAGCTGATTCCCAGAAGTCATCTGAAGTTGGCTGCCCATTTGTTCAATGGCCTTCTTCCACATCTCGCTTGTGAAACGTACATCTCTGTCACTAACGATCGTTTTTGGAAGTCCAAAGTCACGCACCTAGTTGTCCATGAACAACTTGATGACGTGCTCAGTCCTGGCAGTTTCTGGCATGGCGATTAGTCTAGCGTACTTAGTGAACCTATCCACTATGACGAAGATGTGCCTCTTGCCATTCTTGTTGGTCACGAGAGTGTCCATGAAGTCCATGGAGATACTCTGCCCTGGACCAGCAGGAATGGGTAGAGGCTTGAGTAACCCAAGCGGAGCTTGAGTTCGCGGCTTGTCCCGCTAACAGACCTGACAGGTCTGTACGTACTTCTTTGCATCGTCCAACATGGTGGGCCACCAAAATCGCTATACTAAGTTAGCACTAGTCTTCTTATAGCCGAAATCTCTCGTTGCGTCATGACATTCTCCTAAAAACAAACTATGCAAATCTTCTCAAGAAAGAGCAACCCATCCACCATCACAAACGCATCAGTGGTGGCCTTGTCTTTAGCCTGTAGTTTGTTGATGATGTCCATCGTGATGGGATCTTCCTTGTAGGCTTCCTCCATAGATCGAGTCACGTCCTCAGTTAGGCCAAACTGAGAAATCAGCGCACCCAGGTAATCTGCCCTTCTAGACAACGCATCTGCAACCTTGTTGTACTCTCCCTTCACTTAGTTTAGTTTGAAGTCATACTGATCTATGACTTCAATCCAGCGTTTGAGTGCATCGGAGAGAACCGGTTGTGTCTTGATCCACTTGAGGGTCTGATGGTCAGTTCTCAAATAGAAAAACCTTCCTAACAGATAGTGCCTCCAGTGGACAAGTGCCTTGTAGAGAGCATAGAGTTCCCTCTCGTAGGTGGACTTTGCCAACTTCTTTGATGGCATCTTTTTGCTCATGTACTCGACCGGTCTCAACTTTTTCCCGTCCTGCTGAGCCAACACTGCGGCAATGCCATATTGGCTTGCATCAGTGGTTACAATAAATGACCTTTGCGGATCGGGTACCATGAGAACCTCATGGTGCGTGAGAGCATGCTTCAACCGTTTGAAAGCTGCCTCATACTCGTCGGTCCAGTCCCATGGTGTGTCAAGTCGAGTTAGATCAGTCAAGGGAGATGCGATCGTGCTATAGTTCTTCACGAAGTTGCGGTAATAACCACACATTCCCAAGAATGATCTGACCTCAGTCACATACTGGGGTTGTGGCCAGTCCCTAATGCTAGCCACCTTTGCATCTTTGGGCCTAATCCCGTCCACGGATACTTCATGACCCAAGTACAAGATTCGAGTGAGACCGAACTCACATTTCTCAACGTTTATCTTATACTTGTGTTGCCGGAGGAGTGAAAGTACTTTGTCTACATGCTGAGAATGCTCCTCGACAGTTTTACTGAAGATAAGTATATCGTCGAGGTACACGACAACGAACTTATCTAAGTAGTCATGGAAGATCCTATTCATGGCGTGCTGGAATGTACCTGGCGCATTGCAAAGGCCAAAGGGCATCAGTACAAACTCATACAGACCGTACCTGGTCTAAAATGCGGTTTTGTGTTGGTCCTCTGGTCTAATAGCAATCTTATGGTAGCCGGATTTTAAATCTATCTTTGTATAATACTTACATCCCTGCACCCTATCCAATAGGTCATCGATGCGTGGTAGAGGCTCTACGTTCTTAACTGTTGATGGCATTGAGGCCTCTATAATCAATGCACATCCTCAGTGTTCCCTCTTTCTTTGGAACAAACAATACTGGTGAGCCAAAGGGGGAAGTGCTAGGCCGAATCCAACCCTTCTCTATGAGCTCTTTCAGTTGCCGCCGAAGTTCGCCCAACTCGGTTGGAGCCATCCTATAGATTCTTCCCTTAGGTGTTTTCTTACCTGGGATGATCTCTATGGCATGGACAATCTCCCTGTCTACGACTCCTGTAGGCTCCTCTAATAGATCAGGGTACTTGGCGATGATGGTCTCTATCTCTAGGGGTGTTTTAACGGCCTCCCCTTTCGCAGAGACATAGACTTAGTACATTCCTTCCTCTTGGTTCTATTTATAATAATTATAGAAGGCAGATGCGCATAAGCACCCATAGGAGTCTATTAACCTACTGGCTTTGTACTTGGCCAGTCTAACGGTTCTCCCACTAGGCAACTCGTGCTTCAACACCTTCCTGTCCCAGTCAAACTGGGGCTTGGCAACCTCGAGGTAGTACATGCCCAATAACATGTCAAAGGGCAACTCGTCGCTCACCAGGAATGATATCTTATGATTTATCTCTCCTCCTGGGTAGGAGAAGGTGCACACTACATCTTTAACGTAGTCCTCCACCATCATGCGTTTTTTCTTGGCCAAAGTAGATGCTACCGGTCTACTAAGGCGCTGCACCCGGTCTACTAAGGCGCTGCACCCGGTCCTTTAGGCACAGTCTGTCAATGCAGTCGCGACTTATGAAGTTTCGCGTGGAGCCAATGTCTACGAAGGCGCCGCACTTGCGACCACCCACACCAACTTCCAGTACGAAGTGCTCCCCTCTAGGACCTCTACTCAATGCCACCCAGGACTCACGAGGGTCCCTTGCCGACCACTCACCTTGAAGGTCCTCTAAGGCTTCAGACACATCAAACGTACCGAGTATAGTTGGGTCCGGATGCGTCTGCGGGGTGACTAAGGAGTCAATAGCTTTGGCCAACTCCTGAACTGGGGAGGGTACATCACCCGATTCAACGAGAGTAGAAGCAGCTACATCTTCTACCGGCCCTAAGTGTTTCCCGAGCTGGAGCTCGTAGAGGCCCCAGACTGCGAAGAAGGAAACCCACCCTTAGGAGGGATCTTTTGCGAGACCTTCGGGTTCTTACATTTAAACTGTGTATGGCCGTACTCGCCGCAGTTTATGCGAGCACCTCGCGACCAACGATCTCGCCACACTTCCTAATCCAAGCCTTCTCTAACCCAAGCAACTATTTTGTTTGGGTTGGCGGCTTGCCCCTGACCCCTTTGTTGACCGCCCTTCCCACGGCCTCCCGCCTTAGTCTTCACTACCGCGGCGAGGTTGCTACCCTCAGCACTCTCTTCATCGTCTAACTCTGTTCCCTCCACAAGATCAGGAACATCATCGATCTCAGTTTGATTCCCATCGGAATCAACCATCATCAATCGACTACCCTTCTTCTTCCACTCTTGTGGAGTCTTCTTCTTTCTCCCGTCCGCAGAAGGGGTTTGAGCACTACCCAGCGTAGCCTCTAAGTCTAGAGTCTTCTTGCTGAATGTCTCAAATGTGTGATACTCTCTGCGAGCCTCGCTGGCTAATAAGTTCCTGATGTCTGTGGGAAGACATCTCATAAAAGTGGTCAATAAGACCTCTGGATTGTACTCCACTCCTGGGACAACGACCAGGCGCTCTACGGTCGTGGTAAGCTCTCGCACTGACTTGTACTTCCTAGCATCCAGTTTCAGTAGCCCATCAGTGGCAATCTGTGCCTGCTGAGGGTTGTGCCAACGCGCTTCCACTAAGTCCATAAAGCTTTCTAAGGTGTGGGCCTGCGCCCAATCACCCATGTTCCTGCCGAAACCCTTTGAAGCAACCAATCCATTTAACCAGCAAGTTGCTGAACGCTCTAAGTAGGATGCAGCAGTTATCACTTCCTCTTCTACCAATGTCCTCTTTGCCCTCACCTAGACTGGAACCGTTCTCAACCGCTTGTCGAGAGCCTCGTCCTTCTTGTCTCCTGAGAAGGTTAGAGGTGGTTTTAGAGGGGTCTTGGGATACCAAGGAAATTGTTGTCCTGATGGCGAGACAGGCGGCGACTGTGGTGTAGCACCAGTCGCTGGACCGGAAGATGAAGAAGCAACAGTCTGAGATAAGGCTGCTGCTGATGTACCACTTGGTTGTGGTCCAGACTGAGCGGCATAGGGGCCTGTTGTCGCTGAGAATGGCAGCAACGACAAGACTGCTGGCCTGATTCCTGGTTTGTGCATAGCATTCAGGATCTGGTCCAAGGTGTCCTGGATTGTATCCAATTTACTGTCCATGTATGCATGCATGGACAAGATGCTCGCCTTCATAATCTTTTCATTGTTGCTAAGGTTCGAGTTATCTAACTCCTCTAGCGCAACCTTGTCTGCCTCCCTACCCTCTAGTCTGACACTCCTATCTCTAATCTCTTTTCTCTTTTAGTAGCCTTCCTAAGTTCCTCCTCTAGCCTCAAGCGGATCCTCTTGACTTGTTGGAGCTCCATCTGCTCCCGAGTGCGTGGAGGCGGCGAGATGAACTGCGAGCCCGCCATCTGACTAGTGCCAGCCCCTGACGTACTGGAGGTGGACTGTGAACTGGTCGGCATGCCCAGCACTTGACCAGTTGAGTTTGCAGCAGAAGTTGCTGTTGACATAGCCATAGCTACAGCGCTAGTTGCTGCTGCTGCTAACGCATGTTCAGCCGCTGCTGCTGCTGCTCTCGCAGTCTCTAGATTGCGGGCCCTTGTCTCGACCCTAAGTCTTCTCTCATCTCCTGGTAGTAGAACCTGGAACACAACAGGTATCCTAGCGGTATCCTGTCGTGTCTGCCTCCTATCGTGAGATCTCTCCTCCCCACTGTCTGATTCGCTCATGGGCTAGGCAGACGCTGTCTGCACTAATGTCCTCTTTGGAACCTACCGCAGCATGCGTCTGACCGGATCTAAAAATAAATAATTAAATAAATGTCCGGCGAGTTACCTAGACTACTATTCAAGTGGCATCAACAGAACCTACACAAACTGTACACATTGTCTAAGTCTATCATGATTAGTTCCGCACAGCAGATTCGATAAAATATGACTATGGTAGATTACAGTCCTACTCTAGTCTGTATGTTAGGTGTCGGCAGTCGGTCAACCAGCTAATCAAAAATAAAACTTAGACTAATGTGAGCAGATGTATGCACAATGGAAATGATAGTGATGTTCAGTTGAGTTCACAATTGGAATCCCCTTCCCCTGTATCCAACGTACCTGTCAGCATCATCAAGCTGCAGTGTCTAAGGTGTGCAACCACGACCCACCCCTGTGCCCAAGAAGTATGCTTATGACCAGCCTGCCCTTTATTTACCCTCGCGTGCAACGAGCCTTACGTCTGACTGATCTGGCTGATCAAGAGGCAATTTAAGGACAGCCCCTGGAGTCCTCAGGAATTCTTTAACGTCGCAATCAGGACGACGATCACAGCCAGTGGACAGTTCAGACCCCAACCAGAAATGTTTATAGACGGTCTGGGAGCGTCTCCGTAGGACTGGTCAGTCCGCACACCCCTTCTATCAGCGCAGCAAAGAGCCTCAATGGACAAAGCAGCATGGCCTGCGTGTAGTAATACCCATGGGTTGGCATGGTGACCGTGACCCGTGCTTCGACCAGGGCCCTTCGAAGGGACCGCCCTCTCCTGCCAGACGCGCCACCGGGAAGAATGTCCTCACCAAAGAGAGGACACTCAAGCTGGACTCACTTCCTCACGGTAAGAAGAGATTGAGATGGTAAGATAAGGAATGGGAACAACGTACCTGGATATAGCTACCCCCAACCACAAATTTCTCACCAATTGGGCCGACGTGCATTTCGATGACTGGTCAATAGCCTCAGTACCACCCACAATGCAATGCAGTGCCACCTCAGCCAAAATGCCACGTCAGCATACTCTCATCATCATGCATACACCCGCTGTCGCCACAGCCTTCCAGCGGCCTGCCTCTCCACCTAGGCCCCGCTAATCAACCAGCGCAAAGTATCCTCACTGCACATGAAGCATCGTCAGCGCACCAAGTCACAATGTCGCCGGTGCCAGGTCATCAACCAGCTCTGATACCAAATTGCAAGGAATATGAGTGTGAGCGATATACATAAAACCAAGTTGCGAAATCACACAGCTGAACAAGTAGTTGTGTCCCAAGCAGAGCGTACAAATGCACCGAGAAAACCATCCATATAGAGCAATACAATGAAGTAATGAGCCAATGTCCAAGCCCGTAGGCCACACCAACACAGTATCCAAAGTCGCTCTCTGCTGTCTGGCGCTCGGCGCCCAGCCTACTCTACCTGACTAGCCTACCTACAGCCGGTTCACGCAACAGGATCACTTCGACTCTCGAAGACCAATGTACATGACTGCCAACAC